GGGGGGGGAAAGTCTAACCCTTATCCTACACACAAGTGTGTAGGAGCAGTCAGAGGAATGGGGCAACATTCATAGCAAGGGGTCTCTCAGGTCCTTGGGACAACTCTGTGGTCTCTTATCTTCTAGAATAATTACAGAGCACCCATGGACAAAGAAATGTATTTATACAGATCGTTAAGGACGATGGATAGAGTATATTATTTGGGGGGTACGGGGCCACTTACGAGCTACTCAACCATCCATTTTGTTAAAAACAGATGTAACAACACAACAAACTGTTACAATGCACTGGATCTCAGGGTTGGTCGGAACTGCAAGGTCAGCAGTTTACACTCACTGCTCAGAAACCCTATGAGTTGGAAAGGGAGGACACTGAACATGTTTTAAGGTTCCTGAAGCCTGAGTCATTATGAAACATCTACATTAGTAAGCAAACAGAGTACTACTCTGAGGGGAAAACAACAACAGGAACTGGTGTTCACATCAACAAGTTCCAAAGAAAAACAAACTCATTTCCTTTATCTGTGGGTGGTGAGTATGAAAAGCCAGTCAGGGCAGAATTTTCACTGATCATGGCAGCGAAAAGAGGTCTAGAAGCATTCTATTCACCTGAGGCAGAAAAACCAGAAACACTGTATCCTAAGAAAGGTAGCAGATACCAAAGGAATTCCTAAGTAGCACACAGTTTCACAGACCCGGCTGGCAACTTTTGTCTCGAATGGCTGTACTTTATAAGGAGTTTTCAACACTCAATGACAGAAAGTCTGAAACAAACTAGCCATGGATGTTGTCACAAACTTAATATGAACAAAGGAGTATCACCTGAGACACTCATTGTCTTCTATAAAATTTCATTAACAGTTTCCTTTTTAATGAAAAAGTTTGATATTTTGCTCCTATAATTATTAAAGTAGCATTATATCATTAAGTACAATTTAAGGGAGAAATTTTCACCCCCGACATCCATGATGCAGCTTATGTGTTGCTATGATGCTGGTAACCATGCCACAAATATTTCAAATACCTACAGTCACCTCTGATGCATGAGCAGGTTTCAGCAGAACTGCAGACCGAAACTGGATCACAACAGAACAGTGTATGATACAATGCGGGGAAATCGAAGGCACTGCAGAAGCCTGGACTCAAATATAACAATGATGATGAAGACGGCATAGAGCAGACAAAGGTCACGGAAATGGTAGAGCGGAATAAAAACTCTACCTCTGCTATTACTACCTGTGCTGATTTGATCAAGAGTTGGAAGGGAGTCTGGAAAATGCAAGACAGTTTGATTTCAGAAGATTGAATATTCTTTCTTAGCTTTTGTTGTTGTAAGTGCCATTGAGTCTGCGCAGATGCACAGCAACCCTGTATGGGGTTTCTGCGACTGGAAATCTTTGCAGGAGCAGAAAGCCTCATCTCAAGTCAAGTCGGACTCATAGCGACCCTGTATAGAGTTTCCAAGGAGTAGGAGTGTGTGTCCAAATGCAAATCATTTAATGACAAAACGGACAAAAGAACATTTTTGATAGGACAACTATTAAGATTCCACAGAATGGACACAATCAGGCTCTGGAGCGAATCTGTAGCAACAGGCTACCACACACCCTTGTAGGATCACAAATGGGTTTTGGATAATGAGTAGTCGAGCTGATGGGGAGTTCAGTTTGTTTGACATTTGGGGAATTTCCCTACCTAAATGAGGGGTCTATGTTGTCAAGCTTCAAAACAGAGAAGGAAATGCTGTCCTTTTTTAAAACACATCTTGGGAGGCAGTTTTAATGAGGATGTGTCAGTCTACCAACATTCAATCCCCAACACCCCTACTGTCTCTGTCAGTGAGCCATCCAGAAATGGTTGGGCCAACAGAGCCATGGACCTGGCTGTGCAACTGAGCCTCGCCCACTACGGTCCAATTACACTTGAGCAGTGGTTTCGGTGAAGATTCGAAGCCATGGTGCTTAGTGAGATGCTAAATAGTTAAGTGTCCATCAAATGTATAAGCATGTGGTACTGTGAATTGTTAGGGCAATACTGGTAAAAAAAAAAGTTGACAATATGTAACAAATGTCTAAGATCCAGAGGCTTAGATTGAGTAATATCACTTTCGGGAATCTACCCCAAGGCAACAATCCAGAATTCAGGAAGAAGAAACGCAGCAGAGAGATAGATAGCTTTCAAAGCATTATTTGCAGTATTGAAAACAAGCTAATGCACAACCATAAGGAGTTGACTTTTACGAGGGTCCACTACATAGTCACTAAAAATACATTGTGTTTGCAAAAAACTTCAATATACTTAATATGTTAAGCGAGCAAATGGGACTATAAAAGAATTAGACATTGTAAATTGTTTTAGGCTTTTCTGATTGATTGAAAGTATGAGGTGGGAAAGTAATATATAAAAGAATCTGTGTCACATGGAGTCCTGGTGTGGCGCTGTAGGTTAATGCGTCAGACTGCAAAGCCGTAAGAACTGCAAGGTCGGCGGTTCAAGCTCACCAGCTGCTCCTCGGAAACCCTATTCAGGGTCACTATGGGTCAGAACCGACTCGGTGGCACTTAACAACAACAAACTTTGCGAGAGACCTTTTTTCCAAAGTTTCTTGATGGTATATGGGTCTATGAGTAAGTAATTTTCTCCTTTCTTTTCTGTATTTTCCTTTTCTTAATCCAAAGAACATATACTACTTTTGTAGAGAAAATATAATGTAAAGTATGTTAAAGTTAAAAACACGACCACAAGTTTATGGGAAATCTAAGTCAAAAATGCCTTCCTTTTGATGGTCACTCTACATTCCTCTCTTCAACAAGAGCCAATTAAGAACAAAGGCTTAAATTGTTAAAGAAAAAAAAAAAAAAAGAAGAAGAAAAAAGTTTTCAGGAATTGGATTAAGCTCATAACTGCCTCAATATCAAATTAAAAGGAACAGAATTAAGAATTCATTTCTAGCTTTGTAAACTATAATTTATGTAATTTTTATTAGTCTCGGTTTGCTCAATGTTTGCAATGAGGAAACTGGACGAGATAACCTTTGGAAGTTAGTTAGTTTCAGTCTAGGATTATAAATAGATTAGGACAACTAATGAAAGTTTAAAAAAACAAGCAAACACCAAATCCTCAATGTAATTGAAGGGATTTCAACTATCTTCCTAAAATACTTGCTTTTGTACTTCTAAACAAATGTAACAAATCCACATAGACTTGTGACCCAATCATCCTTTAAAGATGATTCTAAAACGAAGTCAACATTATAAACATTCCTTTCAAATTCAGAAGGATTCTACTTTAGCCAAGTACCAGGTAAATTGTTGTGTCTAAGTGCTACCAGTTGGTTCTGACTCATAATGACCCTTTATAGAGTTTCTGAGGAGGGACTGGTAGGTTTGAATCACAATCTTGTGGGTAGCAGTCCAGTGCTTACCCTAGGTAACAGGCATATTGTTGTTATTGTTAAATGTCAAGTTGGTTCTGACCCATAGCGACCCTGTATAGGGTTTCCAGGGAGCTGCCGAGCTTGAACCGCTGACCTTGCAGTTAAAACAGATCTTGCAGTTCAACGCATTAACCTACAATGCCACACCAGGACGCCAGGTAAGAGGCACAGAGGACCATAATTTTACATAGGAAAACAATCCTCATTTTACATAGGACATAAAAAGAAAATACCTTTGTATTACATCCCTAGAGGTTAACTTAGAAATTCCCTTGTCAACACCTTTAGCAGATAACACCTTCCTCTGTATGAAATACATTGGGGAGAGGGTTAAGAAGAGGGGAATCTGTACTTCAGAGGAGGTGGGCTGCTAGAAACCAGGTCGACCTAGGAAAGCAGGAGCATATGCTCAAATTTCTCATTATGGTTATTTCCAGATAAGCAAAAGTTCCATCATCTCCGGCTACGTCCCTTACTCATGGTCAGCCAAGCTAGAAGCAACCGGAAGTTTCTGGCTTGTCTGCCGTCTTTTACAGTGAATTTACCAGAACTGCACTGAAGGCCCCAGAAACAAAGTGGCTCTAGAAAGCACGGAGGTTGGCAGTCACTTCTCAGGTTCAAAGCCTGGGTTGCTGGTAGTGTGAATCAAACTGTTGACTCGTGGTGAATAACTTGTTGAGTCACATCTCTTGAATATTTTTGAATTTAAAGAGAGCTAGGCAGGTCACCCACGTCCTGTGTCATTACATTCTCTCTAAATGAAATACAGGACTTGACATTTGTTCCACTGAAATTCGTCTTGTTAGATAGTTCCACTGAAATGCGTCTTGTTAGAGTCAAACCAATATTGCCAGCCAGTCTGAGGAGCTGAGTTCTGCCACTTGACAGTTACCATTCCATCCCAGTACGGTGTGAGCTTTCTATAAAAGGATTCCTCCTTCAAACACACAGAAAAGAAAGGACAGAGTCATGGGAGACTCGAATGTTGAAAATGACAAAGACAACTGAAGCCGAGAATTGTTTTCCTGCTTAGTCGTTGGTACTGATAACTAAAGGAGATGTAGAAGGTGAGGCCATGACTACTGACCTGCCCCCTGTTTCAACAGCTCAGTTGCTGAGTTGGCAGCTGTTTGGGGAGAGTTTTCTGTTATATCCTCCAATGGATCTGCAGGAAGGATCAAGAAAACAGAGATGAGTTTAGCTGACAAAGAATACCCATGACAAAGTTAGATAATTTTATGACAGAATTCCTAGACAGTGACGTGCAATGATATTACAAAGTTGGGCTAATGCGCTGGAATGCAAGGTAGTTTTGAACTGCAAGGTCGGCAGTTCAAGCTCACCAGCTGTTTCTTGGAAACACTGTACAGGGTTGCTATGATTCAGAACCAACTGGACAACACTTAACAACAATAATCATTGAGTGCTGAATTCGTCAGAGAATGAATGCCTGTTGTTGTATACCACTGAGTTGGTGCTAACTCATATCGACCTTGTATTGGGTTTCCAGGGCTGTACATTCTTATGGGAGGAGGAAGCTTTCTTTTTCTCTCACAGAGCAACTGGTGGATTCAAATCACAAACCCTGTGGCTAACAGTCCAACATGTAACCCACTATGCAACCAGGGCTCTAGGAAAGGGTTGTTGTTAAGTGCCGTCAAGTTGGTTCCGACTCACAGCGACCCTGTATAGCATTTTTAGGAGTGGGTTTGAACTGCTGATCTTGTGATTCAAACCCACCTTGTGGTCCAGTGCTTATCCTACACCACCACACTAGGGAAGGGTTAGAGAGATGGAACCACTACCTTCAAACATGTACACACTTTGAGCAGGGCTGGGGAATGTCTGCCTTATGGACTATATAAAGCCTGGGAAATCATTTGGT